TCATGGTACGGTAGGAAGAATTGAGAATTTTTCCAGTTTTGAGTGTTGTAGGGCATTAGCGGAATCAAAGTGGGGGAGAATCACCCAAGGATTCCGAAGCAAGAGTGGTTATGAAGATGGGATAAGTTTTGCATCATTATCAAGAAGGAAGAAAGCCCAAGCGGTTGTATGATTTGAGGATAGTGCGAGATAGAAGATCGAAAAAATCTTGCGAATGATGAGATCATGTTCTCAGAATGTTTGCCAGCAAGCCTTAAGGAATCAGTTTGGGGATTCCAGTCAGGACATGGGTCTAGTTTTGGATGTTAGGTCACATGTATGCTTGATGAAAGATGTGTTTGGATTAGCAATCAGTGAATGAGATAGTGTGAGAAAGTGATGTAAGTCTGCGGGTGTAGCCGTAACATTCACTAACAGTCAGATAGTGTCAGAGTGTTGTAAGTCTGCGGGTGTAGCCGTAGCATTCACTAACAGTCAGATACTGTCAGAGTGTTCTAAGTCTGTGAGTGTAGCCATAGCATTCACTAGCAGCCAGATAGTGATAAAGTGTTGTAAGTCTGCGGGTGTAGCCGTAGCATTCACTTGGTTGGTAGATAGCATGAGCGCGTTGTTAGGATGCGGAAGGAACAACAGTACCCACCAGTTCGGGTTTAGCAGTAAGGATATGGAAATCCATGGATTAGATTTCGGAATTATCTGGATGAATCAGATCTAATTGAGCCATTGATAGGACTGTAGGGATGCCACTGCAGTTTCAAGACCAATGAAGCAATGAATTGCTAAAGGTTGTTTGTTATATAAGGCTACAGTTGGTCATGCTGCAGCCGCGTTTAGCTGTGGGTTGGTAACCTTAGGATTCGACATGTGGAATCGATCAGTTAGATCAGAAGGCCGATAGGGCCACAATGACAAGATAACTAGTGGCAACTAGCTTTAGAGAAGGATTTGTTCAGACAGTTCAGTGTTTCACACAGTTCATTGTTCAGACAGTTCAATGTTTTCAGGCAGATCAGCGTTTCAGATAGTTTGGGTCTCCAACAGTAATGGTATTTTGGGATTTTATGTGTGGTTAGAAGCACAAATATCTTGGGTTATGCTAAGTCACTTACAGCAGGATTATCCGATTTTGGCCAAGTATAAGTGAAGCACATGGATAAATGGATCCGTGATTCTGTTTTTCTAGTGGGAGCCTTCAGATTTCAGGAGAGGAGTGCGCAACTGAGAGACAAGTAGAATGGATTCATCTATAATGATTAAGTATGAGTGGTCTGTTAGGGATTCAGATCATTTAGCAACAACAAATTTCAGACAAAGAACATGTAATCTTGTTGCGAGGTATTCGTTCACCTGTGGATTTTAGGGCTTTGTGATGATTGGTCACAGCTACCCTGAGAAGGCTAGGGTGTGCCCAGGATGATAGCCATGTTACATAAGTAGTTAGCGTGTAAGGAATGATTTCGAGGATGAAATCTAATTTAAGTGGGGGAGAGTTGTAACACCCTGTTTATTTAAATAAACTAGTAAATGTGAGTCTCAGACTAATTTATGAAGAATTTTAGAAGTTGGGGTTTAAAAGAGTAAGTTCGGGATTAAATTGAAAAGATTTGAAGACTGGAGGGTTTATTGGTAATGCAGTGATCTATTATGAAAGAAATTTATGGGATTAGGGCTTAAATGTAAGTTTTTGATTCAGTTTGTACAGATTTCGGAAGGCAGGGTTAAAAGTGTAAAATATGAACTTATTTTGAAAGAAAAGAAGGAAGGAGGGACCAGGATTGTAATTATGGAAAAGTTGTAATAAGGACCGGGTATATATATTCCGATGAATCATTTATGAACCCTAACCCTAAAGAAGTGTCGGCTGCTACCCCTCCACTCCTCCAGCCGCCATCACTGGTTTCCCTTTTGCGCTCCGACCTGATGGAGTTCCGACGCTGCCACCTACTGCCATTCCAGTCGCTAGTTTGACGCCACAACAGCCAAGCCGCCAGAGGTGTCGTGCACCCGAAAGAGCCACCGAAGTCCGACGAGGGAAGCTGTGGGCATCGTTGTTACGTGAGCCGTGAACGAGCCGCCTTTTCTGCTCATGATTCCTTCTTCTTTTCTTTCTAGCATTTCACCAAGCCACTTTGTTCGTTGCATTGCTTCAGTGAGACGGAGACTGCCGCCGTTGCTGTTATCGTAAGTGTCGCTGTTGTCGCCGATGGTACTACTACTGCTATCGTTATGCACCGCCTAGTGGTGGTTGCGTCCCGATCCTGAGCAAAGACGAGTTTGGGGGGAGTTGCTGCTTGTCGGGGAAACGAAGGAAACCTCCGCCACCACCATGAGGTGGTGGCTACCATCCCAAAATGATTTTTGATGCTGCCTTGAGCCGCTAGGTGGGTGGCTGGAGCACTGTATGCAGTTTGAACTATAGGAGTGTATGCCTTGTTTAGCCGGAAAGTCATGAATAGCCACTACCACCACCGTGAGGTAGTGGCTGCCGCCCAGCGCCACCGCCGGCCGCCATGGTGTGGTTGTGTGTGTGAGTGTGTGTATTTTGGATTAAAGCCATGTAATTGTAATTAGCAAATTGAATACTAAAAATAATAACCACCACCGTAAGGTGGTGGCCGCCGCCGCAAGTTGCCATTAACCACCACTACCCGAGGCGGTAGTGGGTGGTGCCCCACAAGCAAACCCTGATGGGCTTAGAGATTGGTTTTGGGCCGTTGGGCCATGTTTGAGTGGAAAACCCTAATTATGAGTATTTGGGTCTTAGACTTATTGGACCATTGAGATTGGATTGAATATTAAGCCCAATTATTCCATGTCATTTAGCTAGTAGAGTAAAGGACTCAATGAATTAAGTCCTTAATGGGCTAAGTGAGAAAATCCTAATCTTTGAGAATTTATCAGGACACACATGAGAATTATTTAATATATATATATATATATATATATATATATATATATAATTTAAACACAACCATCTACACCTATAAATTATCCACTATTGTACTTTACAATTTACACATCAAAAAACACTCTCTATATTTTATTACCTTCTACAAAATAAAACATCATCTCTCATATTTTTTTTCTCTCTCATTGGATTCAAATCCAAACAACCAAACACTCCAAATGTAAATGTAACCTACATGCAATTGTTAACCTCCCCAATCCAACAACAACCTCTATTCACCACTTCATACCCCCAAAACTTCTACCAACAACAACCATAACAATTCAATCAACCCCAATTCCAAGCCTTTCAACAACAACATTCTCAACAATTTCAACAACCTTCTTTTACACCTCAACAATTTCAACCTATAAATCTCGACAATGACGAAGACGACGAACGGGTCCAAGAAACACAACAACAAACTCGTCGAAGGCAAAAAAACCAAAGATCCAAGAAAAAAAAACTACCGCATGGAACGAAGAGGAGGAGGAAGCTTTAGCAAAAGCTTGGATTTTCATATCCCAAGACGGGGATGTCGCCAACGCACAATCAGGTCAAAGTTTTTGGTGTCGTATTCTAGATCATTTCCACGTGTTATTAGGAAAGAAAACAGAGCGGACGTGCGACTCGATCAATGCAAAATGGCGTGACTTACGAGCGGCTTGCACCAAATTCAATGGCATATTTGACAAGCTTAAAAATATGTATAGAAGTGGTAGCAACGACTTAAACATTTTAGCGACTGCGTCCTACGAATACAAAGTTACCAACCACCAACGGTAAACCGTTCGGTCACCAAAAAGCGTGGGAAGTTTGTCATAATGGTCCAAAATAGGTTCTATATCCGGAAATGGTGCATTCAAGATCTACAACCGGTTCCAACAAAAGGGCAAGAACGTCCGAGTCGGACGTAGGTTTTGGACTCGACCTCAACGATGACTTCGAAGCCACCGAGGGGGAGGGCCCACTGGACGTCCAACTTCGTCGACCACCGGGACGGGACAAAGCGAGAAAAAGAGCATCTTCAAGTGGAAAAGCACCGGTAACTAGCGACAGCGATCTTGCAACATCCATAGATAAAGCTCTAGTTTTTTCTAGAAAAGAAGTACGAATCATCGGAGGCCGCTAACCGCCAAAAAATAGCTCTTACCGATCTTCAAATCATAAACACAAAGTCTCAACCGGATCTCAACCCGGAAAATCTTGCAACATTTCTTAAAATTCAACGACAAGTCCGGAAGAAATATGGAATTTAGGTTCTAATCTTAATGGTTTTAAGAAATTTAGGATTTTATTTATGGTTTTAAGTAATTTAGGATTTTAATTTTTTTTATGTTTTTTTTAAGAATTTTAGAATTTTAATTTGTGTTTTTTATATTAATGTAATGTGTTTTTAATTTTAATGTAATGTGTGTTCTTTGTTTTTTAATTTGTGGTTTTTTATATTAATTATGGTTTTATTTTAAATTATGGTTTGTATTTTGTTTTTTATTTAATATAATGTTAAAAAAAATAAAAAATAATAAATAAAAAAAATTATGGAGTGGTAACCATTTCCAATGTTTAGTGAATTGATGGTGGATTGAGTGTGAAACTGACGTGATGTGACAACATTTTTCTGGTGGAATGAGTGTGACCACTACCCATAGTGTTAAAGGTATGGAGCTGGAGGTCACGATTCATTTGTCGGTTTTTGTAAGTTACAAAAACTAAAATATAATTTATCACTCGATTACATTTTGATACCAAATATACATCTTTATAAATAAACATAAACTATAAACTATTTTAAAAGAACAATCCCAAACGTCCTTAAAACCAATGGGATCGTAAGAAAAATAAATAAGTAAAGATTTAATTGTACGCACGTCAGAACAATACCTGAAGCAACACAAAAAAAAAAAAATTATAATATATTCTGTGAAAAATAAGAAAATTCAAAGAGACGATAAACTAAAAAAAATATAAAGAAAAGGTCAGACGCTATATTTACGCATCCCAATGTCGGCACCTATTTCATCATCAACATCAACATTAACTTCACCATCAACAAAACCAAGCACCTAGCAACCTGCCCGGACTTCAGCTCCGGCAATCGCAAACCACACACACCGAGAGCGACACCTTCAATATCCGATCGATGGCGCTCCGGACAGCAATTACCAGACGAATCCTGACCTCCAGCTCGATGGTACATGGCTCTCGATCCATGTCTTCGTGGTGGAAAAATGTTGAGCCTGCGCCCAAAGATCCCATTCTTGGCGTGACTGAAGCGTTTCTTGCAGATCCCAGTCCTGATAAAGTTAATGTTGGCGTTGTAAGTTCCTCTTCATTTTCACTTTCACGAGGATTCAGATTTTTGCCGATATTCAAATCCCAAGGTTTTATGGTCGAGATTACTTTAGATTATATTGTTTCTAATCAACGGATTACCAGGGAGCTTATCGCGATGATAACGGGAAGCCGGTAGTCCTCGATTGTGTCAGAGAAGCAGAGAGACGGATTGCTGGAAGCATGAACATGTGAGTGACGAGATATAAACTCCTTTTTTTAATTCGAGTTTCTTGTTTCATTCGTCAAATTGTTTATTGAGAAATTCAGGTAAGCAATAAACAATTGAGGTAAATCACAAATGAATAGCTATAGTGATTTGTTCCCCATGCAGATATTGTTGTAAAGTGCACAGTGCACTTCTCCTCTACAGTTGTTAATTTCCAGCTTTTGACGCCTAAAAACTTATCGGCAACATCGAAATCGCTAGATCTTGCTTAGAAACGACGCTAACATTGGGTTACATGAAACCTCATGATCAAATCCACTTATCATCAATGTTATGGTTGTTATCTTTACAAATCCCACCAACCATTTTTATCCTTCCGGCTTTATTCTTACCTTTTTCTTTGCTTTTCTCAACATGATAAAATTCATTTATTATCTTTGAATTTCATACTATGATTGTTAGTTCTTATCATCTTAGTGATTGAAAATGAGTGTTAGATAATCTGTTTCTACACCCATATTTCGTTATCATGGACTCGAATCACATGAAATTTATGATTTGTTAAATCAAGAAAACAGTTGATGTCCTCTATCTTTTGTAATTTTATAATTATTTTGCATAGTATGTTCTCCTGTTAAAATCATATACTTTCCTTCAGGGAATATCTTCCAATGGGAGGAAGCAACAAGATGGTTGAGGAAACCCTAAAGTTAGCCTATGGGGAAGATTCTGACTTGATCAAAGATAAAAGAATTGCAGCTATACAAGCTTTATCTGGCACTGGTGCATGCAGAATTTTTGCAGACTTCCAGAAACGCTTTTCCCCTGATTCTCATATCTATATCCCAGTCCCTACTTGGTCCAAGTAAGTACACAATAAAGATTTGGTCAAAAGTTTGAATCTTGATTTTGTATTTATCTGTTTCGTTTTTTCTCATGATGTGAATGTTAGCCACCATAACATTTGGAGGGATGCAAATGTACCACAAAGGACATTCCATTATTATCATCCAGAATCAAAAGGTCTTGATTTCGCCTCACTGATGGATGATGTTAAGGTATCAAGAATGACATATGGAATTGCTTAAAGAGCATTATATCTCAGTTCTTGACATTCTTTTCTTGCCTGTTTCTCAGAATGCACCAAAGGGGTCTTTCTTTTTGCTGCATGCTTGTGCTCATAATCCTACAGGAGTTGATCCTACAGTAGAACAATGGAAAGAAATGTCTTACCAGTTTAAGGTTTGTGTACATGTACCCTATATAATTATATATCTTTTCTCTTTAAGTTATTAGTCTTTAATGTGACTTTTTTAATTACAGGTGAAAGGTCATTTTGCTTTCTTTGACATGGCATATCAAGGGTTTGCAAGTGGTGATCCAGAAAGAGATGTGAAATCCATTAGGATTTTCCTTGAAGATGGGCATTTGATTGGATGCTCTCAATCATATGCTAAAAATATGGGTCTTTATGGCCAGAGAGTTGGATGCCTCAGGTGAGATTCTCTATTACTTATTTATATGCATATTAATTATAATTAAATTAAAATTGATGTTTTTAATGTAATTGTAATGTTTTTTTTTTTTTTTTTGTAGCTTGGTATGTGAAGATGAAAAGCAAGCAATAGCTGTGAAAAGTCAACTGCAGCAACTTGCAAGACCCATGTACAGCAATCCACCACTTCATGGTGCACTTGTTGTTTCAACTGTTCTTGGTGATCCAGATCTAAAGCAATTGTGGCTCAAGGAAGTCAAGGTAGAAGGGCAAATTGGTCATTTACCCTCACGTTTAATCAAATCCAAAATGGTGATCACTTTTTGTTTTTTATTTTTCAGGGTATGGCTGACCGGATCATTGGAATGAGAAGTGCTCTTAGGGAAAACATTGAAAAATTGGGTTCCCCTTTATCATGGGAACACATAACCAATCAGGTAATTACATTTGTATTTTGTAGCACATTAAGTTGAATAATTTTATTGTTTGTTTTTTATTATGTTTTATATTGTTGAACAAACAGATTGGGATGTTCTGCTATAGTGGGATGACTCCTGAGCAAGTTGATCGCTTGACAAATGAATTTCATATTTATATGACCCGAAATGGGCGAATTAGGTAATATGCCTTAAAACCCTTATTTATCAATTTCAACTTTTTTTTTTTTTGAGGTTGAAATATGATGTAAAGATATTATGTACAAAATTACAGTATGGCGGGGGTTACAACTGGCAATGTTGAGTACTTGGCGAAAGCTATCCATGAAGTTACAAAGACTGCTTAAAGGACATTTTTGTAATTCCTTATGAGGTTTTGATTAAAAAAAAAAAAAAGAACTAGTATTTTTGGGTATTATCCTTGAAAATTATCATCCATTGGTTTCTAAATTAAAATAAAAAAGGGCCAAAGTACTTGATTTAGTTATGAGTTTTGATTGGTTGTAGTGGATAGTGATAATTGTGTTGTTGTGGAAGAGGATTTGGACAAGTTATAATTTCTTGAGTTGTATATTGGTGGCTTTAAAGCCGCCTACGTGTTGAATAATAAAACACATTTGTATTGTAGCGCATTAATACCAAAGAACCACTCTTTTAACATCGTCTTTGTGAGGAAGATAAGCTTTGAGCTTTTTTTTTTTTTTTTTTTTTTGACTTGTACGATTTGGTGTCATATTTTTTTGTTTCCTTTATAGAAATCTATGTAAGCTATGCTTTTTCTTTCTTGAAGAGCTCATAGCAAATTTGGTCTTCTGCATGAACAAAATGTGACAAGTAAGGGGGTTGAAAAACAAGCATTAGAAGTTGAGTACGTTTCTAATTTTTGAAGTGGTCGAGGAAGGGTTGACTTTGCAAGAGTAGTAGTAATCAAAGGGGAGGTGGAAGGCTTTGACATTAAGTTTAACATTGACATTCACATCAACATTAACAATTCCAACCATTTTTATAAAACTAAAGACTTTGACGTGTATAATAATAAAATACAAAGTAGTTCAAGAAAAATAAAATTTCCCAACAAATAATTACAAAAATTACAAACAATATGCAAGAAACGGAATATGTAGAAGTTTCAGAAAGAATAAGTTTGATTAAATTCTACAGACTAGATAAAAAAAAGTTAGTAAAATAATAAGATTAGGGTATCATGTTATCATCAAAACAAGCTAGACCAATATTATGTTTTCTTGTAGAGAAGGGAATCCCAAAGATCTTTTGGCATGAGGATGTGAGACATATGTATCACGTACTAATTAATAGAAGCTCATAATAAACAAATGGAGTTTGATTAAAACTTGATACGCCCAAAATATGTGAGAGTTAAAACTTGACAATTTTCAATAACTAACTCGTCCAAAATTCACATTAATATTCTGTAGTTTACCCAAAAAGATACACTTGTCACGTGTAATGCTGGTGTTTTACAAACGACAAAACTCTATTGAATTTCAAAATTGGGAGGCCAAAACATGTAAAAATGATGACAATATGTATGGTTTTGTTTCTCCCTGAATACAACATACAAGGGTGATTGTATATTAGTGTACACTTACAAGTTACAATTCATCAGATAACTTCACTTCCCCCTTTCCTTAATCTTCATCAAGATTATCAGGAATCATAGTGGAACTTTGTACACTCACTTACTCAACGTTAATTATCTAGACCTACTTTTTCTGATTCCATACATCAACCTCTTCCTTATGATGGACCAGCGATCACGGGATCATTTCCTCCTCATCATTAATCTCCTCAAGGATAACATATTTTGCAGGGACTGCAGTTTCAGACCCGGGCGACTCACCTATATCCGATTTATCTTTGTGTAACTTCTGATACCTGATAATATCATTATCATATATATGAAAAAATAAATTAAATATATAAATACTCATTTAAGGGTTTACATATTATAGAAGAATTTGGATTTTTTGAGATCACGTACTTGTACCAATTGAATAGACTCACACCAAACATTATGGTCACCAGACCCGCTCCTTTCAGCCATGTAAATTCATCATGAAAGTAAAACACCGCCACCTGAAAACAAAATAAAAAATTATTAGCAAAAGATTAAATTACAAAAATGGTCCCTGTGGTATTGTGGAAATTACAAGTTTGGTCCAACTTCTGATTTTGTTACATGCAGCTTTGGTCCCACTGACTCGCACCGTTATAAATGAGGTGGGTGTTAACTCCCCTTGTGAAATGACCAATTTACCCTCATTTTGTCTTTTTGTTATTCTACAATACCACAGGGACTATTTTTGTAAATAATAACATAAATAAAGATTGCTCATACCAGTATAGTGACAGCTTCCTTTACAACCCCAGCTATTGTCACTGTTACTGCACTTGTTACTGAAACAAGGATGTACTCTGTTAACACCTGCACAATTAATAAATAGTTAGACATCAGATGTTCCAGATTTTTTTTTTTTTTTTTTTTTGTTCTTTAAGAATAAAGGAAATATATATATCATATTAATATATTACCATAAAAAAGGCAAGCATCCCTCCAAAAAGCATGAGGAAGCAACTCCTGATGATATGCCCTGAGGTGTCAAAATAAGTGCTACTTCTAAATTCATCCCAAGGATCCAAAATAAGAGATAGCAAAGCTGTTAATAGAGCCATTACAGGAGTTACATAGCTCATTAAGGTCAACGGATTCTTCAAACCTGTTCAAAAAACAATAAAATAAGATACTTCAATTTGCATGCGTAAATTCAAATTGAAAAAATATAGATGAGTAAGTGCTTTGCTTACCATAGACCTCTTTCTTTAGGTTGGATAGGAATCAAAGTAATCCAGCAAGGATAGAAACAAGATTAATTAAAACAAAACAAAACAAAAAAATCATTTTGTATAATTGTTATAAGTAAAAAATTGAAATATACCTGAAGAAGGATTTGAGTCATGCTCCAACGAAAACCAGACATAACAGCAGCAAGCATCACAAAAATGAAACCCCATAAATCAAATTCGGTTTCTCGTGCAACTGTAATCATGATGATAATTTTCAGAACCTAAAACTAGCATATAAACTATCATTGCCTATCAAACTTTGATTATATTAAAATAAATAAACGACATTTTTTTTTCTGAAGTCCAAAGTTATATGCTTGAAATAATATCATACCTGTTAATAAAATTCCAGATGATATCACCAACATGATGCCTAAAAGTTTAAAGCTTGGAGACTCCAGCCTACAAAACAAATTGATATATATATATATATATATATATATATATATATATATATATATATATATATATATATATATTGTCAAATATCAGGTTAGAGTAATCAAGATTTGCAAAATAAAGCACATGCAAAGGTCCTTTAGAAAACATTATACTGAACAAAAAGGTTTAAGCTTTAAAGCTCTGCAGAAAACCCAAAATCCATAGTAGAATAAAGAACATATTGGCTAGAGTTAACAACAGTTATAAATAATATTACCTGAATGCAAAAGCAAATATCAGGAGAAATATAGGAGCAGCAGATTTACACTGCAAAACAAAAGAGGAACTTATAATTAACTAAAGCAACCAAAACATTACAAAATGAAGTGAAAACAGAAAGATCACTATTCACTAACCATGGTAGCAAATGTAACAGAGATGAAAACAAGTGATGCATTGCTCAAATTGATATCAAGTGCTGTTCCAAGAGCTGTTGGTACAACTGTGAAATGCAAATTGGATCTGTAGCATTAATGTTGAAACATATCACAGGTTTTAATTTCTTTAAAGAATAAGAAACAAGAAAAATGGCCCAAAAAGCTTTACCTCTCATAAAATAGTCCTTCCATGACATAGTTACAGTTGGTTCGAATCTTTGGGACCAAAAGTACGTGATTGCCCTTGAGAAAACAGCTTGCATTGCAAAATGAATTGTGTTCATCAATAAAGGAGCAGGAAATCTCCCCATATCATCTCCCAATAGTGTTTTATTATACCTATTACCATTAAAAAAGAACACATTCTAAGTTCTAGGTTCTAACTTCTAACATTGCATTATCTCAATTCTCAAACTAGCTAATAAAATCAAATAATACCAAAAGACACTTACAATGTCAAGAATGTACTGAAGGTGTACCACACAAGTATGAGGAATAATGTCTTGAGTATATCGGCAATGACAATGGGGTTCTTGGAGCTTGAAAAGCTAGGTTTATGTTTATCAACATAATCAGTATTTGAGTCCTTCAATCCTCCATCAAAATCATCTTCGATATCAAAAGAAACACGTTTTTCGTTTATATTTGATCTCCTAGGGCTAAGAGAAGAAGCCAATTCAGCGTTGCTACCACCATTCATCTTTATGATTTTAACAGAACCTTCTTGTTGACAATTTGGATGTAAAGGGTTCTATTCCAATTTGATTTCCGAATTACATATATATGGTCGGGGCTATCAAAGCGCCAACCACATAGTGCACATTATGAGAACTTAGATTCCGCACCTAAAGCATCGAATCAGTAGTCTATCCAGCAAGATTTCGTAATATATACTTGATAGAACCAACTCCTTAGATCTTAGCAAAATTCAAATCGAGCCCACGAGTCAAGATGATCCAAGTTTTGTGAACATTACCTGTTTTGATCGAATGTTGAATTGAATTAAAGTCAAAGTAAATCGGGTGTTTTATCACTGGATTTAAGAGCACAACCGGCACGAAATCAAGTCGAATCGAATCAAGAAGTATGTACTGAAGCAACTAGAGTTGAATGAAAAACACACACCTGGATATGGTATTTGGTGGTGATGCGCAGATGGGAAGCGGAGTTGGGACACCGACAGAATAGGTATGGTGATTAATGATTATACAGAAGAGATCTTGAGAAGGAGATGCAGGTAATAAGTGTTGGATATTATGGGGGTAAAAATTAGGTTTGTTGTCAACGTCTTTTCTGTTTCCCCGAGTGGTTCTTTACAACGTAAAGAGGATGTATGATACTTTTAGTAGATTTCAAGTCAAGATCATAAGATTTTTTTTTTTTTAGTATAAAATAAACTAGTGTGAGCCCGTATATAACATGGGTATATTTAAAACATTTAAATATGTATAAATATTTTAGAAATTTGAATAAAATTTGAATTTATAAGAAAAATAAAAAAAATATTTAATTACTAAAATTAAAGTGTTTTTTTTTTCTCTTTTAAATTTACACAAATCATTTAGATAAAATAATCAAAGCAAATTAACAAGATTTTATTTTAAAATTTTAAAATTATAAGGAAAGTCCATTAATAAAATTGATATACATTTATTATTAAATTTAAATATCATATGGAATTTAATAAAATAGGAAAACCACAAAGTTACATATGGAATAAAAATTAATTCAAAATAATCACAAAATGAATGAGAGTGTGATAAGTGCAAAAAAAACCTATTAAAGAAGATTGTTTTCTTTATTATATAAATGATTATCATTTAACATGTTTAAATAAATAATCAATCTTATTTCAACTCATGAACCTCTTTAATACAATATTTACTAGTTTAAAACTCGTGAGACGGTTACAAAATTAATTTAATTTTCACATAAGAAACTTAAAATTATTAATCAATTATTTTAAATAAACTATTAA